GTTAGGATATGAAGAAATACAGATCTGTAATATTTTTAATTTTAAGGCTCTAGGACACTGCTGCTTTGTAATTATTGCTTATACTCAGTTATTTATTTGCTGTTAAGCCAGAGAAGCCAAAAAAGTAAAGTTTAAAACAAATATAAAGTCTTTGCTTGTTTAAAATAAAAATACAACTAGAGAAGGAGGTTCACTAGCACCACTTAAAGTCAATATTTTCTTAAAGGTTGCATAAGCACAGTATGACAAAAATAAATTATAGAAATAAAAGACTTGGAAAGAAAGATATAAAATTTATTTATAAATATGATATTTGGCATAGAAACCTCCCAAACTATAGATATAGAAATGATAATTCAGTAAAGTAATTGAAAATAAATATACGACAGTCATTTGCAGTTTTGTGTCATAACAACCATCTAGAAACATAACTAAGACATTTACTCTGGAGCCAGAGAATGGTACATTTATGACTAGGAATAAATCTAATAAAAATTTAAGCTCTCTACACAAAAGAATTATGAGGATTCAATGAAATTCCAGTAAAAATTACAACAGAATTTTTTTCTGTCCTTTGATAGGATGAACTACCAAGACACTTTTGAGGCACAAACTCAGGAATAGGGGCTTTTATTGATGTGTAGGAATTAAGATATTGTGGCACCAGCATTGAAACAGATGTAACATGATCAGTGGAATAGAGAGCTCAGAAAGAGACCTACACATATATATCACTTTGGTGTCTGACAAAGGTATGCCTTTCAGTAGAAAAGGAGAAATTATTCAAGGTATATAGGGAGGTTGATTGTTTATAGGGCTAATATTTGAAATTGTATTCCTGTTTTACTCTATACCCCAAACCATAAAGTTAAATGAAGTTATTCAGACATACAAGCTTAAATATCACATGGTTTCCTCTTACCTGAAAAACATATATGAAATAGAAGACAGATAATAGGGAAAAAGAGAGAGGAAAAAAGTTAATCCAGCACTAACAGCTGGGCAAGGTGGTGCACGCCTGTAATCCCAGCACTTGGTGGCTGTGGCAGGAGAATTGCTGCGAGTTCAAGGCCAGCCTGGGCTGCATAGTGAGTTCAAGATCAGTCCGAAGTACATAGCAAGACCCTGTCTCAAAAAAAAAAAAAAAAATCCAGCACAGATAATGTATCTAAGAGTGTACCTTGACTTAATACAGTTGTCTTACATGTTGGCCTATCAGTCTGGTTTTTAATCTGTATGTATGATAATTACCTTATATGGTCTTATAAATAAGTTAATCTGATGCTGGCAAAATAAAAGAGGGTAGAGGGAAAGAGAGAAAAAAAAGAATTGAAATTGTTATGTACATGTACCAGTTCCCTACAATGAATATAATCATTATTAAACATGTACTGATAAAAGGAGCCAGGGATTTAGCTCAGTGGTTTTGCCACCTGCTGCGCAAGCTCAAGGACCTGAGTTGGATCCCCGGTACCAAAAAAAAAAAAGGAAAAGGAAAAAAAGCACTTTCTGGTTAGCAGCACCCCTCCCCCAAAAAGAAACCTAAAACCAGACCTTTGGAAAGTAAGTATATGAAACTATACTAAAAGTCACAATGTAGGATGCCTTTTTTTACCTATTACTTGGCAAAAGTTGTACATGCAAGTCTATTGTTTATCATCTACATTGCTGGTGTCAGTGAAAATTGGTAAAACTACATTGGGAATAAAAAGGTTAGTGATAGCTTTTAAGAGTTGAATTTTCAGGTGTATTGTGACAGTAATTTTCTAGAGTGATTCTTATATACAGCTGGAAGCATATTAGCGAGCATGTAAATCCTCAAAGATTGCATGTGTGTAGCATACTGTTTTTTAAACTTAAATACATATTTTTAAAGAGTACGTGTAGATGCAATTAAGTTTGCATATAAAAGGAAAAAGCAAGGAGTTTGTGAATACAAGATTCAGGGTGAGGGTTAACTCAGTTGAGGAAGCCATGATGATGGAATTAAATGAAATAAGGGCAGGAGGGCCACACAGGTTTCTAGCCTTCATTTACGTAGGAAGTTCTTTATCATTATTAAAACTAAGTAAGTGCAGTCTTTGGATGAATGATTCAAGTGTGATATAAATTTAAGAATTATGACTAATCACTTTGAATAGCCTAGGCTAGTAGATTCCTCTTAATAAATTTTTTTATTTCACCAGCTTAAACTAAGTTTGTGACTCCCACATGAATATTTACCAAATAGGAGCATAAGTTGCCCCTCAAAGGTTTTTTTAACAAAACATATTTTCTACTCAACTTGTTGATCTCAAAGTGTGCGTATGTTTAACCAAGTAGACCAAGTTCATACATTGAAAAACTTCAGAAAAAGAACATCCTTCTCATCAACTGAGCTATTATCATGGAAAACTTCTTAGCCACTGTGATCACTTTGTTTGCCATCTATCACAATGTCTTAAGGTTTACTAATCTACAATCTTCTGTTAACAACATCTGTTTGGTTTTTTTTCCATCTCAAACATTTTGGGTTTCAGCTCTAATTTCAAATTGAATCTTATTTATATCCCACTTGTGTCTGTGCCCAGTCCATACCCTAGTTCAGTGATGGCAAACCTTTTAGAGCTTTGAATGATACAAACAACCCCACTGTGGTACTTGTATCATGAGTTCACTACCACTGCTCTATTTTCTTGAAATATTAATATAGTAGGTAAAGTTAAAATAATTATTGTACTTGTCTACTATTGTATTGGCCTTATCTACTGATTCGATCATATTTGTCATCTCTGGGCCACTCTTAATTGACTTCTTTCTCTCGTTCTAGGTTAGTTACCTTGTTCTTTGAATGCCTGCTCATTTTTGATTGGTTGCCAGGCATTATAAATTTTAACTTGTTGGATATTGGATTTTTTTGTATTAGAAATAACCTTAAGCTTTTCCCTACAGTGCAGTTAAGTTACTTGGAAGTAATCTGATCCTTTGATCTCTTGCTTCTTATATTTTGATAGGTGCAACTAGGAGGGAAATCTAAGGTGTACCCTTCTAAATACTCTACCCAGTGTCATGATTTAAGAGATTTTTCCCACTCAGCCTGACAAAAACAAAAACTATTCTTGACTCTATCTGATGACCTAATATTGTTCCCTGGAATGATTTCAAATGATTCTTTCCCACCAGTGAGGAAAGAGCCACTGAGTAGCTTCTTGATGCACATGCACTGATTATGCTTAGCTGAAGATCAGGAGACATGGTGGTTCTTGAGACCGCTCTTGGGGAGCATTCCTCATTAATACTGTTTTCCATGTACTGTTAGCACTTTGATCTCCCTGTTCTCTCAGCTATCTCCTCAACTAGGAGAGACTATCAGACTCCAATAAGATTCTCCTTTCCTGAGTTGCGACCTAGGAACTCTGCCCAGTTAGTTGGAGCAGTTAAAAAAATAATTTTTGAATAAATGAATCATTCCCATGGTTCAGAAATTTTAAAAATATGTATTCAGTTTTCTCCCTCTGACCCTTTTCTACTACCAACCTAGTCCTCACTGTCCCAATAAAAAATTGTTATTAGTGTATCATTCCAGAGTTTCTTTATTCATATGCAAGTAAATATCACATAGTCTCATTCCTTTTCTACTACTTTTATTGTGAAAAATTTACATGCTATTTTGAACCTTATTCTTTTCAGCTTAACCATTAAGGATTTTTCCTTATTGGTACCTAGATTGCCTCTGCACACACATGCAGTCACACACACACACACACACACACTCACACTTCTTAACAGCTATGTAGTATTGTATTACATAGACTTACTATTAGATAACCAATTCCCAGTTGTCAAAGTTAAGTTCCTTCTAATCTTTTGCCATTAGAAATAATTCAGTAGCTAATAGTCCTGTACATAAGTTATTTTGCATGTATCTGAATAACACAACTTTTAAATCCATTCTCAGAAGTTGATCAGAGAGTTTATGCAGTTGTAATCTTAATAGCTGTTACCAAATTGTCATCCCAAGGGATTAAACCATTCTTTTATAAGCATGTTAGAAAAATGCCTAATTAACCCATAGTTGTGTCTACAGAATGTATCAAATATTTGAATTGTTAATCAGATAGGAAGAAAATGTTACCATAATATGCAATAGTTTTAATTTTTATTTCTCCTATGAATCAGACTGAAAAATCTATGTTTGAAAACTGTACTTCCCTTTTTCTGTTCTATTTTATTTTTTTTGTTTTCTTTTCTGTTCTACTTTAAAAGATGTTAGTAGATGATGTTCAGTAACTTTAATGAATGAACAGTTAACAGGATAGTCTACAAGGGAGACATTTTAAGATAAAATAAAATTATGCTAAGTTTAATAACATAATTCTAACGTCATTACAAAGTACTTAGATCAAATGTTGGATTGATTTTTTTAGAAAAATTTCACAAAAGACCAGGTTAATCTGAGTTTTTTAGCATAAGGGTAATGTTCCAAAATTAGTTTGATAAATGTAAAAATAAAAATCATTCCTTCTAGAAACTTTTATATTTGAGAGATGTAGTTTATATTCTATAAACAGTGGCAATTTACAGAATAATTTGAGAGGAATAGGGGAGAGAATATTTTAAATTTATACCAAATTTGTAACTTTATAGTTACAAAATATATTTTGTCCCTAACATAAGGATAATATACAACAAAAAAAGTAATGAACAAATTTATGCTTATGTGACAAATGTAGTTCTTCATTCATTGTATCTTTCTTGAGATATAAGGAATATGGAGATATTTTTGTAACTTTGAATAACAAAACTTTTTCTCTGCCTCATTGCAAATGCCTCTTTTTGCTTCTATAATTTACAGTTGATAGGTATTATATGACCTGTGGACAAGTAATTAGGGAGGTAGTTGCTTTGCCAAGTGAGTGAAGTAATAAAATAGACCAGTAGTTTGTGTATATTTTGTTAACTTATTATATATATAAATTAGAAGTCTGGTTTTATTTATGAAATTGAAAATATATTTTTAGAGTTGCATCAATATGGAGAGGCATCCAGCACACATCTGTCAGGTATGATGTCATTCCAGAATATTCTCTAGTATTGTTTTTCTGTCTTATTAGTAAACCAAATTTATATTGATTAAATTTGTTTTTTATTTTTCCCTTTGCCAAAATGTTGAGCAGTCGTTGTCAAATTAGCCACATTTTAGCCATCCTAATAGTGAACACTTGCTTTTGGATACTTCTAGAATTGTGTATCAGGAAAAAAATTATTGTCTTACTGATTTTTAAGCATTGATTTTTAGCATTTTCAAAGTTATTGAAAATGTTCTCAATGCTTTCTATCAAAATCATCTAATTGTAAATAATTAAAATTTTATCATGCCCCCAAACTTACTTGTAATTATTTTAGTATTCATCAGTCATGTTAGTGTTTACCACATTAATATCTGCTTATACTGTTTGAATTTCTTGTTTGGTTATAGTTATAGAAGTATGATAAATAGAAAAATAACATTAGTATTTTTGACTGTGTGCTTTCCTGTTAAGGTTTATTGGCTGATTAATGCTGAGGCTATTCTTTAGAACATAAAATTTGAATTTCTATAAATATGTATGAAGCATATTTTAAGAAAGTTGATCTGAACTTACCGTCAAGTCTCAAATTGTTTATGTACTATGTTTAAGTTAATTAGAATTCAAATGGAAGTTAATAAAGTATTTCAAATATTAGAAACCTTAACCAACTGTGGTAACTTACTAATAAAGCAGATTTAAAAGAAATGTCCATATTTAAATGAGTTTAAATTGGGAAATAGTTAAAAGGCTTTTTCAGTATTTGTATTACAATTTAATGCTGATTTAATTGTATAAATCAGAGTAAGATAATTTTAAGAAACCATTTTCTTATTATTTTGGGTAATGTAAATCTATCTTTAAAAATATTACTAGAGATTAAAGTTGAGTTTTTAAATTTTTAAGGTTACCAAATATATTTTATATCTGACTTCAACAGAACTTCTGTTAGTATTGGTTTCAGAGCCCCTTCACAAAGTCAGTCCTAAAATAATTGAAATATATGCCTTAAATCAACTGAATATATTATTTTAGGATGTTAATTGGAAAGCAGCATTTACTTGCATTAAAAGTTGTGCAGTGGTGGTTAGAAAATCAAGTGAAAAGATTGGGGGACAGTGAAACAATGGAGGAATAGAATGATTGTCAAGCTGTTGATTTAAAATTAGAATTTTAAATACAGAATTTCTTTTTGTTCTGATGCCAGCTATTCTAATATTTTAATAATTTGATTTTTATTTATGAGCATCAGAAGTACTAAACACTTGTCAGATTCCAGTTAAATCACGTAAGTTTGAAAAGGATTTCAAAAATCCAGTGGCAGATGATAACATCTGTAGTATTTTTCATTGTGTTGTGTGTTTTAGGTATTTGTGAAGTGTCATTTTGATTATAATCCATACAATGATAACCTGATTCCCTGCAAAGAGGCAGGACTGAAGTTTTCCAAAGGAGAAATTCTTCAGATTGTAAACAGAGAAGATCCAAATTGGTGGCAGGTTAGTATGCATCTCAAATGTTCCATAACTGCTTTTCTATTTTTAATCTTAGATCTGGCCAATATCTGAATATTCAGGAAGAAGGTATTAGCATTTGTTCAATGATTTTTCCAGCATGAACAGTTCCTGCATCATGGCTACTAATTTTGTGGACAGAAGACCAAATTGAGAGGGATTTGTGAGTAGCTATTAATAAATGGAGAATTAACCCACCTATGGTACCTTCCTGTTGGTTTAGGGATTAGGCTGATTGGTTATTTCACATGGGTGACTGTATTAACATATGCTCTTGTGGAAGAAGAACTTACTTGGGGTCATCCTTTATCAGTGTTTGGTTTTGGTTTAATTAAACTCTTGTCCCGTCTCCCCTTTGTATATGTTCATAACAAGTTTTAAAACATGATTTCTTAAGGTCATAAATCTGTTTGCCCACCTCCTCACATTTATTGAGAAATGAAGGCTTGCTCCATCAGTTTTCTTTTGAGTTGGATTATAACCTGTGTATATGAAAAGAGATACAGGTTACATTTTATTTTCCCCACCCTATTTTCCAGAAATTTATGTGAAGTTTTTTCCTTTCCCTACTAATACCATTTTTAGAAATCTCTAGAGGCAGTAATAAGTCTGTTTTGGTAATTTTTTACATAAGCCTAACAATCACAGTGTTAAGAATTGGAGAAACGAACAAATCAGAAAGTCAGAAATCTTTTAAACTATCAGAGCAAATGACAGTCTCATTAAAGAACAAGGTATAGGGCTGGGGATTTAGCCCAGTGGCACTGTGCCTGCCTTGCAGGTGCAAGGTCCTGAGTTCGATCCCCAGTACCAAAAAAAAAAGAACAATGTGTAAGAGGAAGGATCAAGGAAATCTTAGCACTAAACTCTATTATTAACTGAGATATTATTGGAAACTCATATTAACACTAATACATTATATTGGCTTCTAAGGAGAAATGGTTCATAGTATGAGAACAATCTTACTAGTGTGTCTGCAATTTAAATTAAGATCTTATATATAAGTGTACTATGTGGTAAGAAAACTTAAGAAACAGGTAAGTTAAATGGAATCATGATTTTGAGAGGTATGTACTGAATTTCTTAGAACCCTCCTTTTAAAAATCTTTCTGTGGCTGTTCATTGAATTTTTCTGATTTTTCCTCTTTTTTTTTCTATGAATCATTCTCTCTTAGTTTTCATTTCTAATCCTGTCACCATTATCTCAGTCTCTTTTTCCAGTTTAATAGTCTGTTACTTCTAATTTTCAGTGTTGCTAAAAAATCAGATTTTCTATGCCAGTAATAAGGATAAGACACTAACTTTGTGAGATACGCCACTAATAGCCAGTTCTCAAACCACCATTTTCAAATATCAGTTATTTTTTACTTTAAAAGATTTTTTACACTGAATAAAGTTTTAATCTCATAGAATATTCAGATTCTTATTAGTGTGAATTAAAACTTCTCTGTATTCCCTATATTGTCTCCTTTTCATTGATTTTTGTCTCAAGAAATACAGAGATGATTAAGGTTGTTAGTAAATGTCTTACTAAAGAATGCTAGTTGAAATTTCCTCTTAACACATCAAACTGTAAAATAGCATTTATTTCTTTCCCTTCTTGAACTAAGTCTTATAAATAAAAAAGCTTTAGTAATTCAAGGAATCTGTGTGTACTTTTGATTTTGGTCTCAAAATTTCACTACCAGATGCCATATACAGCACAAAGAATTTTAGGTGCAAATTGATTCCTCAATCCTAAAGTGTTTAAATACTTTAACCAACAATATCATGAACTTAAATCTAATGGTTGTTTTTAAAAGCAAATGTGACTGTTTTTTCTAAGCACTGCCTGCCTTACTAGAAAATGGTTTCAAATTTTGATCAGTGAGATATAATGCATTGATTTCATTCTAGGCTAGCCATGTGAAAGAGGGAGGAAGTGCTGGTCTCATTCCAAGCCAGTTCCTGGAAGAGAAGAGAAAAGCATTTGTTAGAAGAGACTGGGACAATTCAGGTGATAAATTCCATATAATAAGTAACAAGCAGACCTTTGTGCTTACCTTTTTTTTTTTTTGCCTCTTTTGTCTAAACAAATGAACTTACTTAAAATCTATCTAGGATTAGTCGCTTTCATCTACTTACTCTCTCCAAAGTAATCTTTTTGATCCCTTTCTGCCATCTACTGGTAGAGTAACAAAATTCAGTTACTGGCTGGGCCTTGGGTTTCCTAGGATGAGACGTTGGGAAAATTATCTTCTCACACCATAGAATATGACAGAGCAATTTTATCATATTATTTAAGTGACATTGGTCTTGTCGTTCTTCAGGCCCTTTTTGTGGAACTATAAGTAGCAAAAAAAAGAAAAAGATGATGTATCTCACAACCAGAAATGCAGGTAGGTTTTAAATACTCTTGAAAAGTCTAAGTAGTTTATGCTATTAATTAATATGGTATAAGCTCTAAATATATAATTTAAAATGAATTTAAATCAAATTAATACCTAATTGCAAGAATATGGCATGTGGACAATAATATAAGGAAATTATTTAAATCTTTATATTGTGTATACTAACTGTGCTTTATTTTGTGAGTATAGTTTATAACAAAATGAACTGGTTAGGATTTGTACTTGTGTTAAATGCAGGAGCAATGTCATAAATATTGAAACTGTTTAGAGAATTTTGAAATAGATATTAATGACCATTTCTTAAAGGGTAGAATCTCTTTATGAAGAGATAAAAGAAGATACTAAAAGAATTGGGATTAAGGACAAGTATTTTCTTCCTTAACATTGTCCTTGAGACTTTTGGGAAAATAGCATTGGACCAGATGAATTTTAGTCTAATCTAAAAGGATTATTTTTTCTTAAATCTTTTAGTCTTAAAGATTTTTAAAAAGAAAGAAATAACTGTGTAGGTGATGGGTATGCTAATTAGCTTGATTGTAGGATCATTTTTCAGTGTATACATACATCAGTACATCAAGTTGTATACCTTAAATATATATATAATTTGTATTTGTCAATTATACCTCAATAAAATGAAAAAAGTTTTTAAAAAATTAATAAAACCTGAGACCTGGATTGGGTACACCTTCCCTGTTTAAAAAAATAATAATAAACATGGAAACTCTATATGAAGTGCTTTCTGACTTAAGAGATATGTCTATACTGGTAATAAAGATGCTAATATAGGAGGGAGACATAGGCTTTTTCTCTCTGGTTACTGGTTTAATCTGTGAAGAAATTGTGCAGAGAAAGAGTTGTTGAGATAGTAACATGAAGAAGTGGTGTTATTACCTCAGATTGAGATAGGTAATATTTTTACTTCACTTTGATCTCATTTTTCATTAAATATATGCCCCTAAAACATTCTTGCAAAATAGAAAATTTTTGATTTTCCCATTAACAAAGATTATATTTTAGAATGTGTTTTTACTGAGCATAGTTTGGACCCAGTATTTTATACATAAATTTCAGGATCTTAATATTTTAATGTTAATATGTGACCTGTATGAATTTTACACAGTATTCATGTATATCACTGGAAACACATTCTCATTCTATGCAACTTAAGTAGCTATGCTATGTGTACTCCTGTCCTCCATACCTGATGCATACTTTTTAGTGTAAATTACATGAACTAATCTGTAATTTGATTATTTATACTAGAGCAATTCTTTATACTAATAAATTGATAATAAAAAGGGGTGAGTGGATAGAATATTTGATAATAAGGATTAAAAATGGGAATGTCTCTAGCTTTGTCAGGTAAAATTTTAAAAACAAATCCATGGGAACAGATGTTTAAATCAAGATATAAAATATTATACTTTATCAAATTTGTGAAAACCTGTGTTAAGTGGGAAAAATTCAAGTGACTGTTGTCAAGACAACTATTGTTGGACAGAATAGCAGAGGGTTTTAGGTATATAAAATATAATTAAATGTTTTCCCATTTCCTTTTGTATTCAGAATTTGATCGTCATGAAATCCAGATATATGAAGAGGTAGCCAAAATGCCCCCCTTCCAGAGAAAAACGTTAGTATTGATAGGAGCTCAAGGAGTGGGCCGAAGAAGCTTGAAAAACAGATTCATAGTATTGAATCCCACTAGATTTGGAACTACTGTGCCATGTAAGTCTTTTGTGTTTTCTTTGCTATTTATTGGTGGAAAAGAGTATGCTCATGGAGGAGGTGTATTACTATTAATTATTGCTATTTCCAAATAAATTTTGATTCTATCAGTGAAAATGAATTACATAGTCAATATTTAAAAAGCCAATAATTCTATAGCTGTCATGAAATACTACTAAAGTTGTGTTGCCTTAGCTTTCTGGTGGCACTTGCCTCTCCAAACTATTCATTCCAGAAATATTAGTCAAATGCAAGTATTTCAGAGTTGTGGAAAAATTTCATTAATTTAATATTTTCTTGTATAGTTGATATCTATCTGAAAGGTTATATTCTTTGCCCATTGTAGTATAAAGAAAAGGGGAAAATGTAGCAAATCCTCAGAACCACTCAGGTGACAGTATCCTTGTGAATTTATGTGGTGTGGCTTGTATCTCAGTCCTACAAGATCATAAACCTGAGTTTTGATAGCACAAGAACAATTCACCATCCACAGCAGATGGCGTTCATTAAAGTTACAGAGATTGATGTATAAAATAAAGTAATAATAAGTACAACCAATAAATGAATCAAACACTCACTGTGGTCTTTGTATTTTCCCCTATTTTTTGCATATTTACATAGAAAGCTAAATAATGATGTCAGAAGTGTATTTGATGAGAATGGATTAGATTGAGAGTTGGGTGATATTGCTGACATTGTAATGACTGCTATAAATTTTTTCTGTGTTATGGAAATGCACAATCCTTTGCTCTTTCCATTGAACAAAACAGGCACATTAATGTTGTCTTTTCTGTCCTATTGCTGGCCATCTTTAACACAGTATGCCTTTAGGTGTATTAATGCCATTGGACTATTTTTAGTCAACTCTTAGTCTAAGGCCACCCCATCTCTTTTAAATGAATTTTAGAGTTTCTCTTGTTTTTGTCCATTATGTTTTGAGATTTAATTTTCAGTGAGTAATCTTACTGCTAAAATTCTTAGAGGTTAGGGAATAACCTTGTCTTCATGTATCCTTTCAGAATAAGGTTTTGAATTCCATTGTAAACACTGTAAATCACTGAATTCAGACAAATCCTAGTTAAGCAAATAGAAAAAAAACTTCATCACAACAAAAGTATTTTAAAGTAGCAAATGTGAAATAATGAAAAACTTTTATTTTTATCAAATTAACATGTGCATAATATATTACACAAGTAGTTCTTAAGAACAGAAACTCGACCCTACCTCTTCCCCACTTACCAAAATAATTCTTTTTGCGATTTCTTTTGGTAGTTTTCCATATTTCTTAGTAATGTCTTTAATCTGCTATTTCCTGCTTTATCTAGTTTAGGTTTTACCTATTGACTTTCTGACTATCCTTCTAATTCAAAATAATTATATTTTCAATTAGTTCAATTTTGCTCCCTCAAAGAATCACTTCCTTTCCTGCTACCCAGCAATCACTACAGTTTCTTTTTCCATTTTTTACTTGACTTTATGTACATGTGCCACAACTTATTGTTGTTGTTTGAACCAGACTCACTCAGTTTGTCATGTTTTCTTCTTGAAGTCTCAGAACCTTCAGTCTTCCCTTTGTGGTGAGGGCTACATGTTTTCTATTCTGGCTATGCAACTGTTACTACTAGGGTATTTCCTTTGTTTTCTTGGGCTGAAGCTGTTGTTCATGAATGCCTTTCTTTTACTTACTTGTTTATTGCCTTGTTTTTCTGGAGTGAATCCTCTTGTAGCTTCACAAGAAACGCTATATGCAACGTAATTTCTCTATCTTTGTATTTTAAGAGGTATATTTTTTACACTGTTATTATTTAGCTGAAAACAAAAGTTATGGGTTATAAAACTTAAAAAACTACTCTTGAATCCAGTTCTGTTGAAAAGTTCAATGGTATTTCAATTCTTATTCTTTCATATGGGACCTGATTTTTCTTTCACTGATACTCAGCCTTGTTTTTATCTTTTCTTTTTAGGTATTCTGAAATTTAATAATTATGTGCTTGGATTCACATCTTTTTACATTTATTGAGGTGATGATTAGTGTGTTCATCAAGCTCAAGATTTATTGAACTCAACAATTTTCTTATTTCTTGATTTTTCTGTTTTCACTCTTTTTCGAAAGTTCATGTTAGCTGAGACATTGGACATCTTGAATTCTCAATCTCTTTAATCATAGTTTTCATTTTTTTATCTTTAATTTACTCTTTAAAAGATTACCATGGTTTCCTTATCTTTCATGAGTGAGTTATAGTAATCATATTTTTCATTTTGTGGTTATTTTCTGTTGAGTCTCCCCCCACCTAGTATTATCATTTTTCATCTTTTTCTTTTTTTCTTTTTCTTTCTGTCTGTCTCTCTGTCTTATTTTCATGAGCACTGTCTTCTATATACCTAAGAATGGGGCTGGGCACTTAGCTCAGTGGCACCATGCCTGCCTCACAGGTGCAAGGTCCTGAGTTCAATCCCCAGTACCACCAAAAAAAAAAAAAAAAAAAGAAAAGAATAACAACCTATATACTTAAGAATACTAAATAGGATAATTATTTTTAAAAATTTTTATAAACTAAGTCTTCTGCTTCTGAGTTACTTGTTTTCTTGATTATAATATATTGGTGCTTTCTCTTTTATGTTGAATGGTTTTTTTCTTAGTATGTACTGATCCTTGGTTGTGCATCTAGACTTTAAAGTGTTAAAATTGATTGGAATATCTGTGTACTTGGGCCTAGCTTTACTTTAGGAGATTGCTAAGGAGCCAGATATTTATTGATGGAGCCCAAAATGTTGATACAAGGAAAAAAATTGGAGCTATTTCCCTAGAGAAGAATCTCCAGATTATTACTACTGAGAATAGTCTGTAATCAAGATAAAGGAAGGGGTAAGATACAGATCAACTTGATCCATATGCATAATTATTCCCCTTAAGTTTTTAGTTTTTGCCCTGAAGAAGCATGTCTGTTCCAGGTTCCTGTGTGAAATAAACCAGTCGCATTCTCATCTATCATTCCTTTCCAGTACCTTAACTTGTAGCTTCTTCTGCTTCTCACAGTCAGTTGTCTGAAGTTAGTTTTAATGGGATATAGATTATCATGTTCTAGGGTTTGCTTTTTCTTTTGTAGTCATTTCATCTTAGTTTCAAGGTTTTTTCCCTTTGAATTTTTTTCATCTTTATAAAATTAAAGTAGGTCATATATAACAAAGCTGGTTTAACAACAGTGATGATAAAAATAAATAATAAAATGCCCAAAATGTTCTCACAACCTAGAATTTCAGTTTACATGCTTTCAGTTGCACTTCTCTCCAGAGGTTACTGTACAAAACTGGATATCTTTCTCTCTCTCTCTCCTCTTCATTCTTTACCCTAGGTACTTTATTTGTCTTTATTTCATTGTTTTATTGCTTTACAAATTTCTCAGCTCCTTTTTGTTTTTGTTTTCTCTCATCAGGCGAGCCTCGAGCTCACAAAAAATTAAGTCTATAATTTTCTAGTCACTTTCAGTTATAATTGTATCATTTTGTTAAACTCACTTTCAGGTATTTCAAAAAGGACAGGGGAGCTGGTCACATTCACAACTTAAGTCTTGTTCACCATTGCTCTCTTACTGACAGCTTCTTGCTGGTCTATAACTCAAGACCTGCACTATGAAGAATATTTTGCTACTTTCCCTTCACATCTCCTCTGCTACTTTGGGTTTCTAAAGCGCAGGACAGGATGGAGTGGCACTAAAAAGGGAAGTGCTATCTTATAAAATCTTGCCTCTTGAAGTTTTTTATGTCTTGAATGTTCAAATACATCTATTCAATGTGACCTGTTTGCAGATTCTTTGAAGACTCTGTGGAGACTTCCTTACTGTACATTTTCCTGGCAAGGGCATTATAATCTCCAAGGACCTTTGGACCCTTGTACCAAGTTCCTGTCCCATACCTCCTATAGTTATCCTTGGATAGATTCTAAGACCACCCCTCCCACTCACTGTAGATGTTAAAATCCAAGGACCCTCAAGTCTCATAAAATGGCACAGTATTTGGACATAATCTGTGCATATCTTCCTGCATACTTTAAATCATCTCGATTACTTATAATACCTAAATACGAGGGCTACATGAACAGTTTTCATGCTGTATTTTTAAAGAAATAATGACAAGAAAAAGTCTATACCTGGCCAGTACAAATGCAATTTAGTTATTAAGTTTTTTCTTTATTTTTGATTATTTTTTGTTAGTATTGTTTTTGTTTTTTTGTTTTGAACATCTACCAAGCATGTTGGTAGACTCTGCAAATGTAGAACTATTGGTTACTGAAGCAGATTATTTTTTTCCAAACTTTTTTTTTTAATTAAATTCTTTTATTGGTACATTGTAGGTATACAACGCAATTACATTTCTCATTGGGAATTGTACCTTTACATAATGCATCTT